CTCTCTCTCTCTCTCTCTCTCTCTCTATATATATATATATATATATATATATATATATATAAATTTTTTCTTTAGGTTCTTAGGTTTTGTTTCAAGTTTTTGTAAAGTTACTTTGGAAGTCGTTCAGATTTCCCGAAAGGGAAACTTCACTCTATTCTAGATAATGTAAGTTTTCATATTTAAGTTTCTAGTAAAACTTCTCATATATGTAAATTATGTGTGTTTTATGTAAATCATGTGTGTTCACTTTTATGATTATTTAAATATTCATGTAAATTTATAAATATCATCATGAATCTATATTACTTAGTATATGGTTAGTCTCTTAGCTTCTTAAAATTATCGATGGATTAACCTGTAAATTCCTAGGACACTGCCAGGTTAATTGTTCTGAGAAAAAGAACTATGAATAACCAAATCCGGGGTGTGGTTAAAAAAGATTATTTTTAAGAACAAAGGCTAAGAGAAAGAGATAATAGATTCATGAATGGACAGAGTCCATAAAAAAAAGGGAAAGTTAAACTAGAAACTAAAATGATAATTACATAATAGAACAAGAGAGTGAAGGAGTACTGAGTAGGATTGTACAACATTAAAAGCTTAACGAAACAAAATACAAAAATAACTTTTATTGAAATATTATCATTTATCGAAATATCACCTTATTTTGGTATCAGATCCTTAGATCTAAAAGACCTTATATGAGAAAAGATTATTATTTTAGAAAAACTTTTGCTTATCATAGAACTTTGTTTTATAATAGACAACACTTAAAAGTAGTTAAATTATATAAAAAAATCTTTAGAAAGTCATCTATATAACTTAGGATTAAGGTTATCCTTAACTTATACTTATAAAAATTCAGTAAAGACACTTAGAGAAACTATTAGACAATCTCAAAAACAAATTAGAGAAGAATTAAATCAAGTAGAATTTGAAATAAAAGAAGTAACAGAAAGAATAAAAGTAATTAAAAATAATCCTTATTATTATAACTCAGTAGGTTAATATATGAGAAGACCATATAAGAATACTAGAGAATATAAAAAAGTTAAAAAAGAATTATTAGGTTTATATTTAGAATCATATAGATTATTAAAAGATTTAAAAACAACTATCTCAATAAGCTCTAAAACAGAAATAAGTAATAGATTAGATCATTTTTTTTTTAGCTAAAATACTAGAAAAGAAATTAATAAGACATCTTATATCTAGAAAAATCTCAATTAAATTTATTGTATGAAAAATCTTCCTTTTGCTAAATATATAATAATAAATTATTGGATATTATATAGAAATATAAACGAAAAACAAAGACTACAAAAAAAAGAAAAAGAACTAGAAGCCTATATATATATTTGTGAAAACGAATTTTTCAAACCAACAGATTTTGAACATAATATAAATAACGAAGAATATATAAAAGGATTAAAGTGAGAGTTACAAGGTATTAATACTAGTATTTATAATTATACCAAAAGAATAAAACAATTTAGAAAAAATTACAAACCAACTACGTTAGGATAAAATAAATAGTAAAAATAGCTTCCTTAAAAAATATAGAATATTTAGATTTACAAATAACTTTAGAAAAAAGATTTAAGAGAAAAGGAGAAAACATTATTAAGTGTAATTTTGATAGTGGAGAACATAGTCTACACACAGAAGATGCTCAATATAATACTTTAATAGATTTATTAATAAACCTTAGTGAAAAAATTAAAGAACATAATTGTAAAATCATAAAGATATTAAGCGAACAAGAAGAAACCTATAATAGACAAAAATAAATTTTCAATAAGATAGAAGAAAATTTAGATTATTTAAAAGAACAAGGAATAGAGTTAACTAAAAAATTAAAAGAAGTTAATAGAACTTTACTCATAAAATTACAAGAAATAAAGACAGAATTAGAATCAATAAAAGAAATAGTTCTTTCATGATAGATTTAATAGAAGCAGAAACACATAAAGAAGCAATAAGATTAATAGAAAAAAAGATAGTTCTTCCATCAGATTATAAAGAATTTAACCCATCTTCAAAGTCAGATCAAATTATTATACAACAGAATAATATAATAATATCACTTTTATTACAATTACATAAAAAGATAGATAAAAAAGAAAAATCTGAAGGTAAAATCATAAGCACAACTAGAGTAGAAGAATTAATAGAAAAACTAAATAAAATAGAAATTACTCCTCAACAAGAAAAAATAGTTAAAAAAACAGAAAAAATGGACATTTTTCCAACTAGATCAAGAGATAAAAGACCAGAAAGACCAAGACCAAGTTACACCCAGAATAAAATAACTAATAATTTTATATCAAAAATATTAAATAGAAAGACAAGAGAAGAAAATAATCAACAATTAGACGAAATAATAGATACAGATAAAGATATACAAATATTCCAACAGAATCAATTAAATCTATTAAATCCAAAAGTTTTATATAATACAAATTCAAAATCTCAATTATATAGACATTATAGAGAAGAACAATTATCGGTATTAGAAAAAAGCTCTGTATCTTTACCCCTCATAAATGAAGAATCTGTAAAAAGAAATAAAATATATCAAAAAAGATTTAATGCATTTAGGATTAATAGTAATAGGAATTAAAGGATTAACTAGAAAAAACTTAGGAACAAAGACACTAATTACCATATATGATAATAGATGGTCAGATATAAAAAAGGAAATTATAGGATTAACAGAAGTAGACATGACTAATAATGGAGGAAATTTCTATATAAGTCCAGACTTTATGATGAATTTAAATGAATTAGGAACTCAAATTAGAATAGGAATACAAACTAAAGGATATGAAGAAATGAATCGTGGAAAAAATTTATTAATATGTGTAGGATTTTTAGGAAAAATGACAGATAATAGTAATAGTAGATTTAAATTACAAATAAAAGATGTAGTAGAAGTAATGGGAAATAAAGGAATAAAATTAATAAAACCTATAAAAATAAATCCTGAAGAATATGCAGGATTAGAATGGAAATTAGGAGATTTTAAAGCAAAAGAAGCCCTAATACCCGATGCTCACTTAATATATACAAATTCTAAAGGAGAACCTTCAATTAGATTTACAGATTATAATTACGAAGCTCAAAAAGACTTAGAAGAAGAAAGTATCATAGAAGAAATGCCTTTAACAGGAATGAATATAGAAGTAATACTAGAAGAAGATTATGCAGTAGATTTAGCTATAGAAAAAGCAAAAGAAATATGTAAAAATAATAAAAATAGACTATTTACATGTAAAGGATGTAAATTAAAAAACATAAATTTAGAACAAACAATATCTCATTTTAAAATATGTGAACAAAGAACTGATAATAAAGGATATAGATTAGAAAAAACTTTACAGGATAAGTTAGAAAAAAGTAATAATATAATAACACAAATACAAGACGACGATAGTGAAATATCTGAGTTAGAATCTATGCTAAGTCAAAAAGAATTAATGGAAACAGCAAGTTCTAGTAGCCCATTTCAAAGAACAAATGAACAGGGATATACTGCAGACAATAGTACAGGAAATATACCACGAAGAAGAGTATATAGACAAGGAGATACTCCAATAACAGAAGTTAAACC